GAGAGCCCAAGGTGACCCGACTGTCAGAGGCAAGGTCACAACTGAAACCCAGCGGTCCTCCTGCCATCTCTAGCTCCTTCCACCTCAGGTTGGGGTGAGGACCCCTCCCCCTTGAGGAGGGCGTAGGACTTCCCCAGAACTTTCACCCAAAATGGGCTTTGGAACCACACAGACCTGGGTTCAAACCCCAGACTTGCTGTGTGACCCTGCGTGGGCTACTTCTGCCGTCTGACACCTGGTTTTCTCACCTGTGAAAAGAGCGTAAATTCATCGTCAGCCCACAGGGTTGTGGTCAGGATTACATGAGAAAGAAGATGGACAGCCCAGGTTGCCACATGGGGCACGCTCAGAAGATGTGTCCCCACCTCTCCCTTCACCCTTAGCTCTCAAGAGGAGAGTGTTGGGGGGTAGGGAACAGGGGAGGTAGGGGTCGGGGTAGAGGCGGCAGCCTGGGCTCCGTGGATGTACTGGCCACTTGTCACCGAGTGCTTACTATTGCCAGGAACTCTTGTAAGCGCCTTACCTGTATTAACTCATTTAACGCTCCATTTAATCCAAATAACAGTTCCCAATAACAACAAGCAGTTTGATAACCCCATCAGGAGGATACCACTATCAATTCTACTTCATAGATAAGGGCCCTGGCTCTCGGGGCAGCTACTGACTTGCCCAGTGTCATACAATTAGGACAGGCCAAGGAGGTCCTGTAAGGCAGTGGACAAAGACCACCTGGACTTCGAGCCAGTTAGACAGGCTCCTAATCCTACTGCTCGCCTCACTCCTTAGCCAGTGATGTCACCTCTCTGAGCCCCAGTTTCCTCATCTGTCTCCAGGGACGAGAACAGCAACTTCGTGGGAGGGGTGAGGATGGAGCGGGATGATGTGAGGAAGCACCCACAAGGGCCACGCTGGATCCACGGGCCCGAGAATCACATTCTTCGTGAAGAAAACCCAGGCCCGCAGGGCCGACCTGGTTCACCCAGCAGGGCCGTGGCTGCCCCTGGGCCACCTCTGGGCAGATGCTGTGCCCAGGCACAGGGCTTCCTGCCTTTCCTGCATGAGCCAGATTCAGATGCTGAGGGAGTTCTGCAAAGCCCCTGGGAATCGCTGGTGAACGGGGGGTGCCTGGTGTCCTGATGAGGGCTCCCCAAGAGGAGCCTAGGCCTGCAACTCCTGAATCGCCCACTGCCTTTCCCAAATTGCTTGGCCCAAATCCATTTACGCATCTGTATTATTAGTTTCTCAGTGTTTTTCTCTCAATCAGCTCATTTTAAAAAACTTAGGTAAATAAAATTAAAATGGAAAATTTAGATACTGACCTCAAATGGGAAACCACTATCATTTCCCATAAGGAGGAAGTCACCATAAAATGAAATACAAGGAAAGCCAAATAAGATTCTTTGAGCCTAATAAAATCCTGTTTCTTGCTGAAGGCTCTGAGTTGCTCTTTATTCCTGAACAAGTAAGCCGTTAAAGGTGGAGAGGCTGTAAAATGACACTTCCTCCCCTCGGGACTGGAGGAGCTGGAAGAAAATCAGAAGGAGATACGGGTGTCACCGTATGATTCAAAGTTTAATAGAGCCTTGAGATGCTCCAACCCCCTGGCATCCTCCCTCTGCTGGACATGTCATCTCAGAAAACACTGACTCGTCCAACTCTCTCTTCCTACTGTACAGAGAAGAAACTAAGGCCCCAGGAGGGGAAGTGACTTGCCCACCATCTCACAGCGTCAGTGGATTCAGCCAGACCTGGATCTAACCAGAACTCTTTCCAAGGTGTCGTTCTACCTTCGTGGGGAGAATTTACGAAGTCGAAGGTTCTAAGGACACCAGTGGTGGAATTTCAGGCGTTAGGCAGGCACCGGCGAGGGGCTGGAAAGGAAGGAGGCAGGCGTGGCCGCTCACATGGCAGTCCACGGACTCCCACCGCCTCTCCTCCCGTGGAGCTCAGCCCTCCGAGTTCCTCCTCTCAGTGCTGAGGGTCAGCAGAGCTACAGCAAATAGAAACACAGCCTGCTGGGCTCAGGCAGCCTGGTAGAGGGGCTTTCTCAGCCTGGACAGAAGGGAATTCATGAAAGCCAGACTCTCGACCCAGGAAAGTGCACATTTTTGCATTTAGTTTGGAGGAGTTGGTCACCATTTATTTATTTTCTCTCCCTTTAACAAGTGCTTATGTATGCCAGGCTCTTCCCAAATATTAAGTCATTTAATCCTCATGACAAACCAACGAAGGGGGGTGCTATTATCATTCCCATTTTACAGATGAGGAAACTGAGGCACGGAGAGTTTAAGTAAGTTACCCAAAATCTTGCTACTCAGAAATGGTAAGATTTGAATCCACGAAATGTGGTTTAACTGTAACAAGAGGCTGCCTCCATGCATTTAATCCTTAGGACTACAACGCAAAGAGGGTATAATCAATCCCATTCTATAGATGTGGAAACTGAGGCTCAAGGCTCTGTGGCACTTATGTTGTAGACCCCTCAGACTCTCCGCTTCCTTGCTCTGCTCCCTAGACGGTGTGCCAGGAATTCTCACTCTAGGGCTGTGCTACTCGATATGGTAGCCATTTGCTACCTGTGGCTCCTGAGCATTTAAAATGCGGCTGGTTGTGACCGAGGAACTGAACTTTCCATTTTATTGAATTTTAATTGTAAAACAGGTAGCATATTTTTTCCATTAAACCCAACGGAATTGTTTTGGTAAGACAAGAGTTCACTTTAACCACTGACAATTTAGCTTCCACGCTGATTTTGTCCAAATCAAGTGTAAAACACACGTGAGATTTTGAAGACATTAGTATGAAAAAAAATTTAGATTATCTCGTTTATAATTTTTTATCTGTTGAAATGATAATATACTAGATACATTGGACTAAATAGAATATATTGTTAAAATTAACTTCACCTGTTCCTTTTTGTTTTTTAAAGATTGTCCCTGAGCTAACATCTATTGCCAGTCTCTTCTGTTTTTCTTCTTCTCAAAGTGCCCTGCCTCCCCCTGCTACATAGTTGTAAATTCTAGTTGTAGGTCCTTCTGGTTGTGCTGTGTGAGACACCGCCTCAGCATGGTCTGACATTCGGTGCCATGTCGGCGCCCGGGATCCGAACCGGTGAAACCCTGGGCCTCTGAAGGGGAGCACATGGACTTAACCACTCGGCCACGGGGCTGGGCTGGCACCCTCACCTATTTCTTTTTATTCTCCTTTAATGCATGACTGGAAAATTTAAACCACATATGCGGCTTACCTTATGTTCTATTGGAAAGTGTTGGTCTAGAGAATTGGGATTTGACACCCCTATTTGTAACAAGGCTCCCAAACCTGGAGTCTAAGCCTAGGATGCGGTTCCAGTGATGATCCCCACAAGTCTAGGGGGAGGCCACCAGCTTGCAAAAATTGTGAACTGTCCCTGAACAACGTGAGCACTAGAGGTAGCTGCCCCAGGTTTGAATCTCAAATCTGCCTCTTACAACAAGCTGGGTAAGCCCCTCCTCTTGACTTATCTGTAGAATGAAGGTGACAGTGCCCATCTCATGGTTCCTTAAGTGCCTCAGGGCCTTTGCACTTCCTTTTTCTCTGTCTCCCCTCATATCTTTGCACTCCTTCTCTTCCTTAGGATCTTGGTTTAAACATCCCCTTTCCCATTTATTCAAGAAAATACATGACACTTAGGGGCTGGCCCGGTGGCGCAGTGGTTAAGTTCGCATGTTCCGCTTCTCAGCGGCCCCGGGTTCGCTGGTTCAGATCCCGGGTGTGGACATGGCACTGCTTGGCATACCATGCTGTGGTAGGCGTCCCATGTATAAAAGTAGAGGAAGATGGGCACGATGTTAGCTCAGGGCCAGGCTTCCTCAGCAAAAAAGAGGAGGACTGGCAGTAGTTAGTTCCGGGCTAATCTTCCTCAAAAAAAAAAAAAAAAGGAAAAGAAAATACATGATGCTTACAATCTATTTTAAATGATCTCGGTTATTGATTTTATTTTCTTGATAACGATGTGTCTACCCACTGATTTATAAGACCCCCAAGGGCAGGGATGGGTCTGACTTGTCACTGCAGAGTCCCCAGCATTTAGAACAGGGCCTGGCACAGCATGAAACAAAGTTAGGAACGTGGGAGCAAACCCAGGCAGTGCTGGCTTCACAGAGGTGCACAGAAGACAACCCTACGGCTGGGCTGCGCGGCCTCCCGGTGTGGAAGGTGAGTTCATTCATCCCTCCTGGCAGGAGGGTCACCGGGTTAGATGAGATCCCAGAAGCCCCTGGGGTGCCCTGAGGGCTCTGAGATGCAGGCGAGCTGGTGTCTGGCGCCCTGGAGCCAGGGGAACAAAACCCCACCCGCCTCCCTCCAACCTCTGCCTGGAGGAGTTATTTTTTGACAGCGGTGAATTCAGACATCAAGATCTAAAAGGAATTTCCAAGAAAGGTGCTGGACCCCTGGGGCTGCACAGGGATGTTCCACCAGACAGCAAGTGGCACCAGGGCCTCCGAGGCCTGGGCTGTGAGTCCTGTGACAGGCACCTTCCCCTCTCTGAGCCTCCCTTGTCTCCGCTCTATTTACTGAGCACCTATGATGCGCTACACAGTTTTAAGCGTTTTACATGTATTGACTTATTAATCCAAGCAACAACGTATGAAGTGAGGACTATCATAAGCCCATTTTGCGGAGGAGGAAACTGAGACAGGGTTTTAAGTAGCTTTTCCGAGGTAGCTCAGTGGGTCAGGGCAGAGGTGGGGTGCACTCTTAGGCAGGCTGGTTGCAGGATGCTTGCTCTTCACCACCAGGCTGCACGGCCTCTGTCAAATGAGTGCTGTGAAGCCCACGGGACCTCCAGCCTCCCCAGGGCGCAGCGCTGGTTCTTTTGAGCCCACAGCCGGCTCCTAAGCCTGTGTTCTTTGCAAAACCCCAGGGCTGCTTTCGCATAGCGGGGCCCCTGAGTAGAATGGGGGGAGATGGAGCTTCCTGCCCGCCCTGCGT